TCGAGGCCAGCCTGAAACAAAGAAGTAAACTGCCAGTTACCTACACTATCAACTGAGACTGGAGCAATGATTCTGGCATTAAGAGCACTGGCTGTTCTTGCAAAAGCCCCGGGCTTGGTTCCCAGCATCCACATGGCAGCTTGCAATTGTGTAGGCAAAACACCTATACATGTAAAGTTAAAAAGTATAAGTTGTTGATGTTGGTTTATCTTTAGCGCCTACAGGATTATTTTTCATTCTTGATATCAGTAATTGAAATGAAACAATGAACTTCAGGGTCTGTGATATTTAAGGGCATGGTCACCATTGATGGGTGTAAGACAACCTATCGGGACCGTTTTACAGTGTATAGAAGTGTGAGCTGTGAGTAGATTCAGTCTAACAACTTTAAAGAAAATTTCCTGAGAGGTCAGTGAGAGGGCTCAGCGGGTAAAGGCGTCTGTCACCAAGCCTGGACTTGAGTTTGGTCTCCAGAACTCACATGGTGGAAGGAGGGAACTCCCACATGTTGTCCTAACCACGCCATGGCCCTTCATAGCATGCACATGCATGTGTGTGTGTGTGTGTGGGGGGTGTATTCATGTGTGCACACACACTAAAAATGTCCTAAAAATACTTTTTAAAAAATACTTTTGCCAGACATAATCTCCTTGAGGCAGGGACAGGGAAGCAGTTCTGGTATTTACTCCCAGGATTCCTCACAGTTACAGAATGTAAGGCATCCACTTGGAGGAGTGCTGGGGAGGCACTGGGCCTACAAAATGCCAGTGATACAAGATCAGGTATCCTGCAGTCTCTGCTGAGCTAAACTGTATACATCCTTCTGCATGTGACTGTGTGTGCACTGGCTTGCTTCTACTGCTGTGATAAAACACCGTGACCAAGATCCACTTAAGGAGGAAAGGGTTTGACAGCTTACTTGTCCTGGTCACCCTCCATCATTAAGAGAAGCCAAGGCCATGAAGGAATGCTGCTTACTGTCTTGAGCTCCACGGCTCACTCAGCTTATTTTCTTATACACCCAGGGTCACTCGTCACAGTGGGCTGGGCCCTCCCACATTCATCATTAATCAAGGAAATGCCTCCATCAGACTTGCCTGCAGGTCCACTGAGTTCCTTCTTCCCGGATAACTCTAGCTCGCGTCAAGTTGACAGGCTAACGGCACAGTGTGCACAGAGACCAGTTTGAGGCACATCATGTCTGGGTGCTGAGATGCTAGAGGGTAGTTATTTTCTTCCCGATCTTCTGTATTATTTAAAATGTTTGCATGAGCACGCATCATTCCTACAAAAATAGCAAAACTTTCTAAGGAGCTTGGCAGGAACAAGATGAGAGGGAGGTAAAGCAATGAGTGTGTGCATGCATTTTTTGTTGTGTCTTAGGAAACAGCAGGGAAGGAGAATTTGAAGCTTTGAGAAAAGGGTGGTAATCAACAGGGTGAAGAAGACTTGGGGCCTGCAGCATAGAAGTCAGCCTTAAAGAGACAGGGCACCCTGTTCACGAGGGAAGGAGAGATATCTGAAGATACTGAGAACTGGGAGTGATTATAACCCATGACTTCCACTTTCTTGGTGAAATGGGAGATAACCTTTTGCTGAGAATGGGAACAGAAGAGAAATAGACATATGGTGAAGTCTCCAGTAGATCTAACCCCATAGTAAGGTCTCCAGTAGATCCAAAACATGGTGACACCTCCAGTAGATCTAACACATGGTGACACCTCCAGTAGATCTGACCCATGGTAAAGTCTCCAGTAGATCTGACCCATGGTAAAGTCTCCAGTAGATCTAACACATGGTGACATCTCCAGTAGATCTGACCCATGGTAAAGTCTCCAGTAGATCTAACACATGGTGAGATCTCCATTAGATCTGATACATGGTGAGGTCTCCAGTAGATCTAACACATGGTGTGGTCTCCAGTAGATCTAACACATGGTGAGATCTTGCCAATCTTGCCCTTCAGTGGAGGGCCACTTCCTGAGAGCCTCCACATGGGGAAGTGGTCTCACGGAACCCTTTCTGAGGACTCATCCTTCTTCCATCCTTGGAGCTAATATCTTAATTCCTGCTCTGCAATTTTTTTCTCCAAAATGCCAAAGCCTGGAAAAGTCCATCCTTGACTAAGACCGCAGAGCCTCACATCACGACAGCGACTCCTCACCAGTAGACCCAACACTTGGTGGGGGAGGCATCTGACGGTTGTGCCTAGCTGGGCTGGTGAGCCTGGTCTGGAGCTATAAACACTGCACTGGCAAAGAATCCAAACAATATGGCTGGGCAGTCTTTCTCTAGAGGAAAAGCATGCTTGGATCTATGCAGTGGAGAGGCATACGTAGGAGAACCTCCCAAGGGAAAGAATTCAATACTCATGAAAGAAACTGAGACGATTGTTGGCCTCTGACTCAGGATGCCAGGGGAAACAGTGAACTAAAGAAATATTTATGAGGAATTTGGAATGTGTATCCAAGAAGCCAAAGGTGCATGGTGAAAGTGGGGCTTCAGAGTCTGACATTTTGCTGGAGCTCCTGAGGGCACAAAGGCAGCTAGGGAGCATAGGAACGGTGAGGAGACGCTGTCGTGATGTGAGGCTCTGCGGTCTTAGTCAAGGATGGACTTTTCCAGGCTTTGGCTTTTTGGAGAAAAAAATTGCAGAGCAGGAATTAAGATACTAGCTCCAAGGATGGAAGAAGGATGAGTCCTCAGAAAGGGTTCCGTGAGACCACTTCCCCATGTGGAGGCTCTCAGGAAGTGGCCCTCCACTGAAGGGCAAGATTGGCAAGTGAGGGAGGCGTGGTCTCATAGGGGAAACCAGATGTTGTCTGTACAGAACACTCTTAGCAAAGGGGGAAAGAGGGGTATATACAGGTGGGAGCACTCCCCAAAATGAGAAAGGGAGTGTGAAAAGAAGCAGTGGGGAACTGGGGAAGGGGACTGAATGGTGAAGGGTAATGTGAATGCAAGTTCTCCAAAGGAAACACTGAGCTAAAAGAATTACCCATAGTTCCCAGAGTGTGGGAACTTTTTCCCACTAAGTTCTTCTACTGTAGCTCCCACTGCCACAGTGGGTCTCAGAATCAGCCTGACATCTGTCCACCTCACAGGGTCTCTCCCTAGCTGGGTCTGGGCTCTTGCCTCAACCCACTTCCGACCTTTCTGTCCTGTGTGGGCAGCCACAGGCATCTTCCCAAGGCACCATTTTCCTCCATCACTTCTCTGTCCCGGTTCTTTCATGACGCATCACTCTCTGGCTCCCGATGTCAGCCAGGTGTCCCCTCGCTTTCCCTCCTGCCTAGTTTCCAGGCCTGTCTGGTTCTGCCAAGATGCCTTTTCACCTCCTGCCCCTCACTTCCCCACAGCCTCACACTGGGGTCTCTGTCTTGTTAGGAGGATGGCTGTCTTAACAGGGTAACTGCCCCTACCAAGAGTCTCCCATCGCCAAGACCCCACAACCTGGTCCAGCCCGTTCTGACCTTTGCCTTTCCAAGTTCTCAGCTGATCTCTCCTTCTGGGGATTTGTATTCTTTAACCATCTGGGTAGGAAGCACAGGCTTTAGAGCTGAGAGGAATCTAATCCCCTGACCCTACGATGAGGAGTCTGGGAGGCCAAGGAATGTCCCCATGGTCAACCAGCAAGCTAAGATTTAAGCCCCATTTTCAGACCTGAATGCTACTTGCTAAATTGGAAGTTAACTTTGTAATTCTTTTTTTTGTTTTGTTTGTTTTTTCTTGATGCCTCAGGAAGTCCTAGAGGCCCAAAGCAATGGTGTGCATCAGAATCACTAAGAATAATTTATGCCAACCTAGACCTATGCCTCTAGGTATATGTTTATACCTAGAGGGGGTAGAGCTGGCCTGTGGTCTTTGCCTCCCATCTGTCTATAGGAGCCCCGAGATTATAGATGTTTGCTCTGCCCCATCAGGCTTCTATATGAGCTCTGGGAATTTGAACTCATGCCCTTAAGCTTGTATGGAAGTGTTTTACCCACTGAGCTGACTTCTCAGCTCCTAAGAAGTTTGAGACTGATTGACTGGGTGATCCTCTTAGAGCCAGCCCACTGTCTTTGGTTTTATCCCCTTTTTAGATTCTTAGTATCACTCTTGCAGACTGACTTTCAGAGACACTGTCACCACAGAAGCAGCTCTGGCAAATCTATAACTAGATTCCTGTCCCAGATGTGACAATCACAGCCCTGGGCAGCGCTTGTGAACCTTCTCAGGCTCACATCATCCTGGCTCCCAGGTTTCCCACTTTCCAATGTCCCTGGGAGCCAAATCGTCTTTCAAAGTACTTTCAGGCAAAAATCTAGCAAATATTGAGTGGAGTACTTGTCGGTTCCATTTGTCCAGGGGTGTGTGTGTGTGTGTGTGCACGCGCTTGCATGTGTATGTGCACGAGTGTTGCCAATGATCTACAGCCAAAGACACCCAAGTCAAGCAGACCTGGCCCAGGAAGTCTCGGAGGAGATAGGATCTGTGTGGTGTCTGTGGGATGCCTCAGCACAAGTAAACTATCTGAGTTTGTATCCCAAAGTTCCCATTTTGACCTCCTGCTGCCTCTTTTTCCTCATCTATAAAATGAGAATAAAACTCATTAAAGACCATCACAGTCATTATAAAAATAAAAATATTCCCTTCCTTCCCGGGATGGAATATCAGATCCACACTCATAAGGCACTTAGTACATGCAAGTGTTCCGTGAGGGTTTGCTGTTATGATTGTTCCGTGAAAACTGTGAGGAACGAGGAGACTCCAGAGAACACGCTGCTGCCCGGGTACTGGCCTGGAGGTTAGCAGTCCCTGCCTCACTGCATGAGCACACATCAGAGGAATGACTCGCAATGTGCTAACAACTCTTCACAGCGCTGCGGACCGCCGAAGACAAACACGCTAGGTATTTGCCAAGGAGAAGGTCAGGCCTTGCATAATTTAAGAAACACACAGCCGTTCTGCACTCCGGGGCTTCAATAAGTTGGCAGTTACATAACAGGCCTGCAACAATGCGGATGAGCAGAACCAACGGTGGGGGTCGAGGTGCTGGGGCAGAGGCCATGATCGACGAAAGGCAGGCTACAGCTAGGTCTTGTCGTACCGTGTGCTTCCCATGCCGACGTATGTGTTATGTGGCAGCAGGACCAACGGCCTGACGGGCACTACCAGTCTGTTACCAACAGGAGGTTTGTAAGTCGGTCTTGAATGTGATAGATTACCAATGCTTTCTCCCTCCTTGGTGATGCTTGTAAGCTAACGTGAGATTGTGTCACCATGTCAGAGTGATGTTCTGCTGCTTAGTTTTGGTCAGCTAATATAAAACTAGACATCTTTGGAATGAGGGAATCCCAATTGAGGAACTGCGTCTGTCAGATTGGCCTGTAGGCAGGTCGGGGGGCGTGGTCTTTGGGCTGTGCCTCCCCTACATGGGATTTGGAATGTGTATCCAAGAAGCCAAAGGTGCATGGTGAAGGTGGGGCTTCAGAGTCTGACGTATTGCAGGAGCTCCTGAGGGCACGAAGGCAGCTAGGGAGCCTAGGACTGATGAGGAGTCGGAGGTCACTGTCTGTCACTATCTGTCACTGTCTGTCAGTCACTGTCGCCCTGTGGGAGGGAGGTGGCTGGGAACATTGGAAAGCAAACTGAGTGAGGCATGAGGAACAAACCTTTAAATGGAGCTCCTCAAAGGTCTCTGCTTCAGTTCCTCCCCCTCCACCCCCCCCACTCCTGCCTTGAGTTTCCCTACCCCCACCCCCGACTGTTCTTTTTGATGGTGAAATAACCCCTTTCTTCCCCAAGTTGCTTTTGGTTATGATGCTTTATCATAGCAATAAAAACCCAACTGGGACAGACACAAAACACAGTCCAAAAAAAATGTTAGAGGCTGAGGGAGGGCTCAGTGGGTAAAATGCCTATGCAAGCTTGAAGACATAAGTTTAGATACCCAGAATCCATGAAGACCCAGCACTCCTGTGGAGAGAGAAAAGGTGGACAGGCAATCCCTGGATGGTCACAGGACAGTTGGCCTGTTATACATAGCAGTAATGAGGCCCTGTCTCAAACAAGACGGAAAAGAAGGATGAATACCCAGAGGTTACCCTCTGACCCCTCCCCACACACGTCCATACTCACATGAACACTTACACATACACACACCTATAGTACATGCACACTTGCAACTGAAAAACATTTCATGACGTCCCTGTAAACCGACAACTTGGATTGACGTCAAAGTGTAGCCTTCCTTTGTCACTTGCTGAACTGGCCTCCTTTGATGCCTCAGACATGGCGGTGCCTCAGATATGTGGTGCTAGTCTCCTGGATGCAAGCATGGGAGAGTTTAAGAGGTTAGGAAGCAGATTCCAGTGGTTTCTTTCTATTTTGGGGCAGAAGACGTGAGTCCACAGCACCTACCAAATGGTCTCGTGTGTTAATCACAAGATCCTCAGACCGCCCCATTTGAGTCAACCAGTACCTTCTGAGAGGAGATGGGCTGGTTTACATAAACTGTTTGCAGTTAGTCATACCATAAAGCTCAAAATTTCAGAAACCAGGGAGCCAGTTTATTTCTAGAACCATCTGTAGGGTGAGATTCAAGTTCATATCCAAGGAGCTGCCAGAGGAGCTCAGCGATTGCCAGGCTTTTGAAAGAGATACAGAGATGGGGTGGGGCTCTGGACTTGGGGTAGAGCAAGTGAGGGGGCTACAGCCCACCAGGCCATGCTGGAAGCTCTGTTCTGTCTGCACGCCATGACCTACAGTCTCCCTTGACAAGAAGCTGCCAAAGAATTAATTAGTCCCTGGGAATGGGGAGGTCCAAAAAAGCTTTTTGGGGTTGAATTCGTAATTTTAAATCGGGTGTGTTTATACGTGGCTGTAAATCCCAGTGCTTGGGGCTAAGGCAGGGGGAGGTTGGGTTATGTGGTGGCTGGTGGTGGTGGGTTTCCATTCGTTATGGTGGGTTACCATGGGAGTAGAGCAATGCCCTAGCTCAAAAGGAGGGAGGGAGGCAGGGGGGCAGGGTCCATAATCCTCTGTCTCCCTTTAAATATTTTTAAATTTTATTTGTGATTGTGTGTTTACATGTATATGGTAGGGTGGGTGGGGTGCATGGACAACTTTCGGGAGTCTGTTCCTGTTTTTGAGGTTTCCAGGGATTGAACCCGGGTTGTTAGGCTTATGCATATACTTCTACCTGCTGAGCCATCTCACCAGCCCTAAATAAACAATTTTTAATATTTGTAAATGAAAACAAAATTTGGAACATCTCTTCTTTTTCATTGCCATCTGATGGAGCTGTGTGGGAGACGTGAAGGCTGCTTGCAGGCCCAGAGGAGGCAGCAAGGCAGAAGCCTTAGCCACCAGCGGTCTTTAACTATAGAGCAGAGAATGGGCCCCACCGCTCTAAAGGACAGTGGTGGAAACAGTCCCACTCTGTGAAAGTTTTGACAATTCAATTTTAAAAAGCAACAGCGTATTTGAGGACAAGAAGAACATTTTGGAAGATAAAAATATAACCACTTCTGAAATGTAATATAAAGACTGGATATGAGGTCAGGGAGTTTCCAAAAGACAAGAGAACATCCGAGGCATGACAGACAGCTCAAACCTCTGACCCTCTAGTGATGGGAGGCAGAGGGGGCATGCGGAGTCCACTGACCAGCCAGTCTAGCCTCAGGAGCACAAGGCTCAGGGAGAGACCCTGTCTCAAAACAGGAGGTGGAGAGCAATCAGAAACACCTGATGCTGCCCTCTGGTCTCCACAGGCATACACACAGGTGCACGCACCAGCACACACGTGCATGTGCTTGCATGTGTGTGCACATGCTCACACGCTCACACACACACATACATACAAGCACACACGCAGAGATGAGGTAGGACAGAATGTTAATTACAGAAGTAAATTTGAACAGGATGTGCAGATTCGATGCCTGACTAGGAAGAATTCTAAGGTAAAGGAGCACTGAAGCTAAGGAAAGGTGGCTGAGCCAGGCGGTGGTGGCGCCTTTAATCCCAGCACTGGGAGGCAGAGAAGGCAGGTGTCTGAGTTCAAGGCCAGCCCGGTCTACAGAGTGAGTTCCAGTATGCCCAAGGATACAGAGAAACCCTGTCTTAGAAAACCAAAATAAACAAACAAACAGAATGAATAAATGAATGGATGAATGAGGAAAGAAAACAGAAAACTGGACGGAAGAGATGTCTCAGTGGTTAAGAGCTGCTCTTAAACCTGTTCCAGGTTTGGTTTCCAGCACCCACATGGCAGCTCACAACCGTCTGTAACTCCAGCTCTGTTTGCTCTGACGCCCTCTTCTGGCCTCTGTGGCACCAGGCACACATCTAGTATGCAGGCAAGATACTCATACACATAAGATTAAAAAGAAAATAAGTTGTTGTTTTTTAAAAAAAAAAAGGAAGGTTCAGAATGAAAGGTTAAGGTACTCTGTTTTGAAAGCCCCTCCCCCTTCATCTCAATACATAGGCCAAGCTGTCCTTGAACTCCTAACTCTCCTTTCGCAACCTCCGGCATGCTAGAATTACAGACACACATTGTCACCCCGGGTCTTAAAAGCTACTTTCAATGGAGAGCTCCAGAAAATGAGTTTTAAAAGTCACTCATACTAAGGACATTATGAGCAACATCAAAAACCAGAAATAGGGTCAAGAAAGATGGTGTCTCCGTGGCTAAGAGCCCTGGCTGCTCTTCCAGAAGACCCAGGTTCATTTTCCAGCACCCACATGACAGCTCACAACCATCTTTAACTCCAGGGCACCGCACTCCCTGTTCTAGTCTCCACGGCTCTGCACACGAGTTGCACAGACAACACACGCAGGCCAAATACACATGCATATAAAATAAATAAAATCTCTAGAAATGATGACTATAAAATCTTTCTCTCCGCCATTATTTTGTGTCACTATGACAAAAGTCACACGGGAAAACTAAAAGAAGAAGATTTTGTCTTGGCTCACGGCTTCGGAGGGTCCTGGTTCATCCTTGTGGATGTCGTGTGGAAAGTATGTCAAGCTCAAGGCATAGAAGCAGAAGACAGAGGCAATCAAGCATGAAGATAGAAAAAATGTTGTCCTTCAAATCCTTTTCTAGGAAGCAAACAGAACAAGAACTTCAGCAAAATAAGGAAATGAATAAAAACAGAGAGACACAGAACCCAGGAGGCATGCATAATCAACCATAGAAAGGCAGGCGGGAGATACCCAGTGTTTTGCAAAATGGGCTCAACTGCTTTGAAATGCACAGGTATTGGACATGCTTGGCATTTGAGAACTAACAAGAATATCGGGGTATCTGGAAGATGTGAATATAGGTGCGTGGAAGTGGTAATATAATAGAGAATGGGAAAATGGGTAAATCAAGAGATGGAATGGAGACACTGGGCTGGGGCTCAGAGCAGATCCTCTCTTAGCCCTCCTCAGAGACTGTGTCTCACAGTGGATGGTGGTTAACACAACCATAGCCAGACAGTGAGCGCTTCGGAGCACTCAGTCCCAAATGGGCTATCTCCATCAAACCCCTTCCCTACCAAGTTCGGGGAGCTACGCAGAGAGGGGTGGAAAGATTGTTAGAGCCTGAGGTGACAGATGACTCCAAGGAAATCTTCAGACACACAATAGGGTTGACTATATGAACCCACAGAGACTAACACATCAAACCAGACAAACCCCAGCACTGAGGAGAGGAAGAGGACCCAAAGTCCCACTCCTGACCAAGAAGCAGTTTGCTGGGGAAGGCAAAAACAATTTCTCCAATGGAGTCTCACTGAGTCTCCGCCACACTCCAGGGTAGGTAGGCTTCATGTCAGGGAGTAGTTGCCCAACACGGAGGACTCCATGGGGTTTTCATGTAGGCTTTTATTTTGTTTTAGTCAGGGTTTCTATTCCTGCACAAAACATCATGACCAAGAAGCAAGTTGGGGAGGAAAGGGTTTATTCAGCTTACACTTCCATGTTTCTGTTCACCACCAAAGGAAGTCAGGACAGGAACTCACACAGGGCAGGAACTTGGAAGCAGGAGCTGATGCAGAGGCCATGGAGGAGTGCTGCTTATTTGGTGCTGGCTTGCTTCCCCTGGCTTGCTCAGCCTGCTTTCTTATAGAACCCAG